CTCAAAACCAGATCAAAAAGACTTTTTGGCTGGATATAAGATTTTAAAACTTGGTTAGGTGGACATTTTTTGCAGTGTGCAACTGTTTCACATTTAGAGTCAACCCAATTTAATATGGCTTTGCCAACATATAAATGGCTGTAATTTACTCACAATTGCAGATAATGAGGTAAAGATTATGTGGTAGTAGTTGAGAGTCATCCATCTTGCAAGATGGAACTGTGGTGACTATAGTGAATTAAAAATCCATTTTGAAAGGCACTGGCCAGTATGTATTTCTTCAAGGAAATCTAGGCCATTTTAATATTTTTTTTACTATTTTTTTATTTTTTATTTTAAAAGATCCCTTAGAGGTCTACTTCACGAGTGCCAATATTGATCTGAGAGCTTGCGCGGGGAAAATCTCCCCTATAAATACGAGGTGTTTATGGAATACAGATGATGCTGTCACATCGTAAAGTCCTGCTGCAGGCTTTCAGCCACATACATCAAGCTGAGCAGCGGGAAAATGATCGGAACGATCACGGGAGATATCAGAGAGGGCGACAGGAATTGGGGGGAAAAAAAGCTGTCCAGTAAAAAAAAGAGAGAGGGAAAGAGCAAAAATAGACTTGGAGGGGAAAAAATGGTCAAATGTGGAAAAAGCTGTTAGGAAAATGAGTGTGCTTTACAGGAAATGAGAACAGCTGGAAGTGTAATTACGTACTGGTTATCAGACTTGTCGAGGCAGGCGTTATCGATTCCAGGGATAGACAGCATGGTGTCCACCAGAAGGCTGGATCTTGGGTTTTGGTTACTGTCGAGAAGAAAAAAAAAAGAAAAAAAAACTTGACTCAAAAGGAATTTGCAACACAGACATATAGCTTTCCAAAAGTTTGAGCTCTGTGAAAATTGGGCAAAAAACTGTTTTTTTTTATAAGTTTCTTAGGAAAAATCTTGGTTAAAAGAGTTTATCTAATGCTACATAGGCATATTGACACTAACTGAGCAACCCAAACAGTGAAGTGGAGAGATGAAAGGAAACAACATCTGAGGACATTTGACTTGCCACTTTAGATCTAAGTGGATTTGTTTTGTTTGAGCCACCCCCTGCCTTTCAACTCAAGGAGAAGTACACTCATAAATAAACATTAGGATCATTTGCATGGTTGATACAGGCACATTAGGATAATAGAACTTGAAGAAAGTTGATAGTTATTAAGCTCTCTGGTAATCTACAGTCGAGCACAAACTAAAAGCCGTAAAATGTTTGTAACCTGTTTCTCATGCTTAACACGCATCTTAAATTTGAGGAAATAGCATTTTTTTTAGTCTAATTTGTTCGTCAAGCTGAAAAGAACTGGGAGGAGCATCGACATCCGCTTTGAATTCAGACTTCAGCGTTTTCTCCTCCGCTTCATGTCGCCTTGATCAACAAGCAGAACATGTTCAGAATAAAGACATCTCTCCCGACACTCTTYATCCCTCTTCGTTTGATCTGCTGTCACAACCCGCTGCATCATCATCATCATCTCATGCCCCTCCGTTCTCACTTTCTGCTTAAAGGTCCAGCTGACCTTCAGCAAACTAGTTTTATAATCATTTTAGAGCATAACCCATGCAGATACTGATGCTAAACATCCTGCAACAAATTCTGCTTTGGCTTGAAATACTTTTTTTCAATTTGAAATTTAAATGATAAAAGTTTCACAAAGCAAAACGTTTTCRGATAATAACTGCAATCAATTTGCAACGGGAAATAATATATGATAACATCACTTGGATGCAAATTATTTCTAAACATTTCAATGTCTTATGATATTGATAATTATGTATTTTTTTTTTCATTTAGATTATCAACTGTATGCTGCAACAAAACAGTCCTGATAACGTGATGATTGAAAATCTTTTCCTTCAGTCCGCTGACCAAAAGAAGAGAAATCTTATCAAACCACCAGCTGATGTTGCCAACTGAGAAAACTGATTACGCCAGAGTCTCCGCGAGTCTGGAGTCCTGATTAGTCTGATTTCCTTTTGTGTTTTCTCCCCAGTGTTACAGTATTTTCTATGGGTACTGACCTGAAGAAAGAGTAACTTGGCCCAATGTTGTAGAGCGCAGGGCTTAGCTCCAGTTCCTGATAGTGCTTCATGTCGCTCTTGATGGAGCCCAGGCCCATAGCGATCACCACAAAGAGAACAGGTAGCAGGATCTGAGCGATCAGGCCCTTCCAGTCCCTCCGGCTGTGGTGGAATCTCTTGATTAGCATGGCTGTCAGCTGCTGCCAGGCCAGGACCAAACCACTCTCTGTGGATGAACTGGACAGCTCTAAAACACAAATTATTTGACATATTGACTCATCAAAGAAAAGAGCATGTGATGTGGATAGGTGATAAAAATTGACAAACTAGAAAAGTGCAAGAGAATCGAATTTGTAAGAACTTACGGATCTTGTCGCCTATTTTGCCAAAATCATCACTGCAGTCTGATGAGAAGCTGTCAATAGATCTCGTCTCAGAAACCGTCTCTGATATCGACAGGGGCCTCCCCTCCTCTGTGACTCCATTAGTCAACTGGAGGAAAACCTGCAAACAGATGTCAGAGTTTCAGTTTRCTGGAACAGTCATTTAAATCTGCTCATGTTTTCTTTTTCACTCTATCTACAGWAGTTCATCTATAGTTTGTGGGGATACTGTATGTATGCATTTACCTCCTCCAGCGTGGTGTCAGAAATGCCATAACCTCCCAGCTGCAGCTCGTCCAGGTTGGTGTCCAGCGAGGTCAAAAGAGAGCGGTACGAGGAGGCGTTGGATGAGGWGAAGGGGGGCAGTGAGTAAACCAGGTCACCCCCATTGGCTTCTGTCAGTCGTGCTTCAGGTAGATGAGCTTGGATGACAGACTTCAGCTCAGCACTGTCTATGGGCTTCGATTCTGCACCTTGAATCTACAAGAAAGAAAGCAAAGACATTTAAATGTTTCGATTTTGGTGAGATTCAACAGCTGTTTATCATCACCATTTGTATCATATTTGCTACACAGGATTCTATGACCTATATTTTATCAATGTGATGAATATTTTCCTCAAAAACCTGTTGTATATCATGGATCAGACGTCAATACTCAATCCGATGGAGGGAGCTGACAGATTGTAGACAGGCACGGGAACTGATAAACAGCCCAAATCATGGATTTGGAAAATCCCTTCTTGCTTTGACAAGGAATACTTTAAGTACACTGGTTGGAGTCCTAACTGGGCACAATCTGCTCAACCGCCATAAAATGGTGATGGGACTCCAAGACAATGGTCTGTGTGATGCCTGCGGCATTGAATCAGAGACCTCTTTGCACTACTTTGACCAATGCTTGGCTCTGAGTTGTCTAAGGGAAAGAATTCTTGGAGACCCCTGAGGGTTTCTAACCTGGTGTCCTTCATCCGTGGGACAAAAAGGTTTGATT